TGGACGAACCAGTGATCGCGCAACACACGGGCTACTGTTGGTGCCGTTTGGTCCCTACATGGTACTGCAACAGAAAACTTTGTAAAAGAATCAGTGAGGACCAGTACATCCTCAATGTTCCCCAAGCCGCGATCTAGCTTCAGGAAATCAATCGCAAGCCGCTCCAACGGCTGAAAAGCCAAGAGATGGCGCATCGGCGACCGAACAGTGGGAGAGGGGGCTTTGGATACTCTGCACTGGAAGCAATCCCTAATATGGTTATGTACATGAGTAGAAAAACCAGGCCAAAAACAACGCTGTTTGATGAAGGACAAGGTTCTTGCAACCCCTTGGTGCCCCCAATGGTCATGGGCTCCTTCGATAATCGTCCTCCTGAGCCTCCGTGGAACAAGAAGCTGGAACACCTCTCCTAGGCCCGCATCATGCACACATCTGTACAAAACACCACCTTTCTCCTTTATGCGTGGCCACTCCTTAATCCAACTTCGGGCTTCTTTGGAAAGTTGTTCTCCAACTGGTAAGTCTTGCCCAGGCTCCCAACGACTGCGCCAACGCTCCCAAACTATCTTGAGGTCGTCATCCTCTTGCTGCAGAGACGCAAGTTCGGCAGGTGAATAAGAGGGTAGAACTGAAGGTGCTGAACCTGAAAGATCCACTGGTCTCTTCACACCCTGCTCCTCACAATTAGCAGATCGCACAGCAATGGGTATCGAGACACCTTCGTCAAACTCACTGTGGCGGGCACACTGAAGAACATTGACCTTGACCTCCTGCTGAGCACCAGGGTAGCGGCTTAAGGCATCCGCACATTTATTGGACTTCCCTGATCTGTACCGAATTTCAAGGTCGAACGGTGCGAGCTGAGCGGCCCACCTCTGCTCAACAGCACCAAGTTTAGCTGTCCGAAGGTGCGCTAAGGGATTGTTGTCAGTATATACGACCGTGTGACGTCCAAGTAAGTAGTCTCTGAATTTTTCAGAGACGGCCCACTTGAGGGCCAAAAACTCTAACTTAAAGCTAGAGAGATCTGAATATCCCTTTTCAGCACCTCGTAGACTCCTGCTGGCAAAAGCCACGGGATGAAGCTTTCCCAAGTCATCTAACTGGCAGAGACAAGCTCCCAAACCGATTAACGAGGCATCAACCTCTAGAACAAAGTCACGGTTGAAGTCGGGATACCACAAGACGGGTGCAGTACAGAGAGCCTGCTTCAAACTCCTGAAGGCCTGATCAGCCTCCTCTGACCAACAGAACACCGGACGGGTGTTCCCTGCTTTTTCCTCTTCCTTACGGGTTAAGGCATGCAAGGGCTCAGCCACCTTCGAGAATCCCGAAACAAATCGCCTGTAATAAGAGGCTAAGCCGAGAAATGATCTAAGCTGCTGTACAGTCGCTGGGATGGGCCAATCCCGAATGCGTGCAGTTTTATCCGGATCTACTGATACTCCATCGCTACTGACGATGTGACCCAGATGTCGAACAGAAGTCTGGAAAAGCTGACACTTCTTACCATTTAGCTTGAGACCATAGCGTTCAAGCCGTTCAAAGACTTTGGCTAGACGCCCCAAATGTTCCTCATATGTGCTAGAAAAGACTAACAAGTCATCGAGGTACATGACCAACTCCGAAAGGTTGAGATCGCCAAAGATCAACTCTACAATGCGTTGAAAAGTGCTGGGCGCATTTGTCAATCCTTGAGGAAGCCTGAGGAACTCGTAGAGGCCCCACGGTACGCGGAATGCCGTTTTCCCAACCGAATCCTCATGCATGGCTACCTGGAAGTAGCCATGCGCCATATCAAGTGACGAGAAGAGCTTAGCCCCAGTGAGCGACTCCAAAGTCTCCTCTATCCTTGGTAAAGGAAACGCGTCTTTGGTGGTCTTTGCATTGAGAAGTCTATAATCAATACACAGCCTCAGCTGTCCGCTTTTCTTTCGCACCAGAACTATCGGACTAGCGTACGGGCTGGCTGATCTGCGAATGATTTGGCGATCAAGCAAATCTTGAAGAAGCTGTTTAACTTCTTCGACAAGACAAGGTACAATCCTACGGTGCGGCAAGTTGACTGGTTTGTCATCCCCAAGCTTGATCTGGTGAGGAATTAAATTACAAAAACCCAGATCAAATGGGCTACATGAAAAAGCGCCTATGTGCTTCTTGATCAATTCAGCTGCAAGGACAGCCTCTGTCGGCCCAAGGTGACTCACACTAATTCCTGGGGGTAAAAGAAAATCTGACCCATCAGGAAACACAAACCGTTCACGATCAGACTGGGATACACTCTCTTTCGCGTCATCAGACACATGCTCATTGGAATTTTTACACTCAAAACAATCAGACTCAATGTCCGAAAAATCTGTTCCGTCAGAAACAACACGGTGCATAAAAACGCTAAACCCACCCTCTGTTGGCTCGATAAAAAGGTGTTCGGTTGGAACAACCTCAAAAGCTACAGCCACCTTAGTGAGTGGAGGAATAACAATGGGCTCCGCACTGGCGTTAGCCACAAAAACATCAACTGATGCACCCTTAAACTGGTCGATACCTTCCAGTACCTGACACAACACTGACGGATCAGGAACACTGCATGACTGGACTTCCCTAAGGCCTCCATTATTTGACAAACATAAGGGAGAAGCCTGAACAAGGAACTCTTTGTCACTTGGTACAAGAGTGTTCACACCCAACTCGCAACGAATACGACTGACCATCCCAGTAGGAATGACCTCTCGCTTACACGAAAATATGTCCAACACTAATGGTTCACAAGGTGTATTATCACCACAGCCACCGTCATCGTCGAACGTGGAGGTTGTCCGTACCCAACGGAGTGCTAAATCCCAGTCTGGGTCAAACAGTGCTGAACCCATGACCTTAACCTTGGATGCTACTTGCCGCAAAATATTGCATCCTAATATCACAGGACACTGATCTCTACGAGAACTTGCAGAAGCTTCAGTCTCCTTTGAAACCAAAAAGCTGGCCTTAAACTTCTGGCCAAATACTTCTAGAGAAGTCTCAAGATAGCCTTGGACAGGAATTTCTAAGTCATTGGCGCCCATCAACTTAATGAGCGTACCCACTGGCTCCAGTTTTCCAAGAGTGCTTGCCATATGTTTACTATAAAATTTAGCAGACATTAAGGAGGTTTCAGCTCCAGTGTCAAGCAAACACCTAGTAGGAATACCATTAATGATAACAGAAGCTGTAGGAGATCTTGCCAGAAGTCTACGACGGACTTCAGCAGCTGTAAGTTGCACATCTGCTGCAACGTTGTCATCCCCCACTTTATCACAATTCACTTGGTCGCTATCAATGGATAATTGAGCCATGGGCACTACACAAGACCTATCCTCCGTCACACTGCCCTCTGTGGCAGAGGCTGACCGTTTCCCGAACTGACTGGCTGTTTGTCTACAGCTCTTGCTTCTGACTTGTTGCCCTCAATTCGCTGGCGCTTAAAGCAGTTCTCTATGACATGGCCTGGTTTCTGGCAGTACGAGCACTTTAAGGGACTCCTATTTCTTTGGCCCCTGTTAGCCCGCTGCTCTACTACAAGGCTTGCAATGTTGTCAGACATGGTATGCAACTGAGTACTCATGTCTGATTGTTGGTCAACTAATTTCTGAACTGACGTCACAAGTTGCTTTTGGCTTTCAACTAGCTGCGCTAATTTATCATCATTGGCCACAGTTGGTTTAGTGGAACGCGCGGCGTTAACAGACTGTAAAGCGTCAACTTCACTCTCGGCCCTAAACGTACCTTCCGCATTGGGATATAGCCCCAGAGCCAACTCACGAAAACTGAAAAAAGGTACGTCCGCATGGTCAAAGGACAACTTACGAAGCTCTCTCCGTAAGGAGGAATCACCAACGCCTCTTATGAATTGTTCCCTGAGAGTACTTTCTCTTAACTGAGTAAGAGCTGCTTTGCTTTGCTCTGTATCGGCCGCAGACTCCATCCTATCGTACATCCGAATTAGAGAGCGACTGTAGTCGGCAAGACTCTCGTCTGGGAGCTGACTACGGGCATATAGGGAGCTAGTTAACGACTGCACAGTTTCTGGTGCGCCAAATCTACGGCGAAGCAACGATTCAAGCTTTGCCCAAGTATCCCTCTGTTGTTGAGGGGTACACAATATCTCCTCTCTCGCGACACCCCCCAAATAATCAAACGCAGTGTTAACTTTCTCCTGTTCGGAGAGACCGAGTTGGCGAGAGTACGTGTTCAAGTCATGTTGCCATTCAGAAATGGTCTGGTCCCCTGACTTCTTGGGGAGGCCATTAAATTTGTTCAATTTAATCGTCGAGGCCCTCTGGTACCTAAGGTTTTGAAATGCACCAGCCAACGTGTTGGCTAGAGCTTGATTTGACTGCAAAATTGCCTCGGCTACATTTTCTGGGAGTGCCATGATCACAGAGTCTATGCCTAATACTGTGGTGAAATACAGTTGTATAACTGACCAACAAATAAGCTTACTTCACATAATAAGCAAACAGCAAAACTGTATAAATGCAAATACTATTCCCTACATAGAAAATCTACAAGAGGCACGCAAATGAAGCACAGAGCTGAAACAACTCTAATAATGACCCAAAGTTCAAAATGACAGAAAGAATGGAAACATTTCTTTGCTGCAGAACGAATGTAAATTACACAGAAACACCTGGAATTCCAGACAAATGATCAACAAACAGCTACATATGATTGAAAAAGCACATAAATTTACTGACAAGGTGCTGGGATTATGTTTGTGTATGTCTTATTGGAAAACAGGAGTAATTAAATATAGATATCTCTACTCCAATCAAGGTTTAATAAAAAAATAATAATTTAAACGACGATTACAACGACGATTAAATGATGATCAGTCTTCAGATCCTGTCTACGACGCCAAGTTGAAGTGAAGCGACGCGTGTGCGTCGGTTCCGCTTTTACGTGAGCAGTCAGCCCACGTGGTTTGAGGTTTGATGCCTCGGTAAGGAAGACTGTACAAAATGTTGATGTTCACTGAGCTTTTATTCTAGTTCCAGTAAATAATCCCAGCAAGATAATCCTGGCGAATTAGTTCCAGCAAATTAATCCCAGCAAATTAAAAACCTAAATGAAAATGATAGTGTTTACGATTGTAAATACATGTGATTACAATAAACACAATGTTTTGAATTCACTTGACAATAAAGTTATTATATCAACATGAATGTGAATACAGTTGCATGTAGTGTCACTGTCCGATATGGCACGGAGCTATAAAACTTACCCAGCACCTCGTCTATGTGCAGTTATACAAATGTAAATCTCAGGTGCGGGAGGCTACAGAGCTTCTGTAATACAATGTTAAAATTATACAATATAAATGACATATAAGGGGATGATATGATATTAAATAACCCACAAATTACATCTGAAAAAGTACCCAAATGATTATTGTTATTGTTTTGTGAGCCCCTAAGATATACATGTAACGTGAGAATCGTATGTACGCGCGCCACAGTGATAAGCTGGGGCAAGGGTCATGCGAATCGAAACAATGCAGTGCAGTATGTATGCAACTTACATGCCCTGTGGCGCTACGTGTACAGTGCACAGAGAAACGTATCACGTGGAGAAAGTTTTCAGACTTTGTCCATGGACAAGACCATCAGAAAATTCCCATTTGTGTCAATAATAAGAATGACATAACATGAAAATGAATATGAACATACCTAGTAGTTGATTATTGTTAGCCTGGTATGTGTGGGTTGTCTGGCTCGATTCCTGGAGCTTGTAAAATGATGTGTTTTTGGCATAAATTCAAAGAGGCAGCTCACAGAAAACGCATTAAGACAACAGAGAGAGAGAAAAGTGGGCGGAGCGTCAGAAGACGCTTATCAATATTCATGATCCCTACAATAATAAAAGACATTTACATTAGCATATTAATGCAAAAACAATCCCGACTCATAGATCATTGAGTTATTAATAAACAGCATATATACGGTACACATCGGTGCATGGTCCTCAGTTTTCACGTACAATTTGGCCAGAGCTGTTGAACTGATCAGTCGCGAAAATGCTCCGAATCTTGCTTGCCTGTCTGATGCTTGTCGTCAGTGGAGTGGAGAGTAACTGGAATGCCGAAGAAAGCGATCCATCAAAAGCAAAAATGGTACCTACAGGGTGAGTCAAAAAAAGCGGCAACCAAACCCCCAAAACTATATTTCATATTTAAAAAAATATGTAGCACCGAAAATAATACTGACTGGAAAGCCAATTTCATAAGCTACTTTTAGATGAAAAAATGACTGAAATTGCTCAATACGTTCAAAGAATATCACCATTTAAACACAATGACCCTTCAATCTCTTTCGTCAAAAAAAGCGATTTCAAGAATCGTCGTCCAAATTGTCTTCAAACATCACCAGCGATAAAACCTCAGTTGAAAAGTTAAAAAATATTACACAAAGTCTTTTCGAAGGCCCGTCTTTTAATAAAGTGGATTTTAAAAATACTATGTTTTGCCTAACAAGGGTCATTAATAAAGATATTGTGTACTACAGTTGTTGACAGTTGTTGAAACAAGTTTTCTTTGTTGTTCCAAATAGTCAGAATACACAATAAATTGCTCCTTTTTTGGACGAAACAGGTTTTAGGTTTATTGTGTTTAAATGGTGATATCATTTGAACGGATTAAATCATTTCAGTATTTTTTTCATCTAAAAGTAGCTTATGAAATTGGCTTACCAGTCATTACTATTTGTGGTGCTTCATTTTTTTTTTTTTTAATATGAAACATATTTTGGGGGGTTTGGGTTCCTCTGTTTTTGACTCACCCTGTACATGTATTCTCCTGCCACATATTAGACCGTGGGCCAGAAATCGTAGCGTGCAGAATCGTTCGGAGTTTTTGGTGGCAACTTTTTTTCTTTCCTAATGGACTCCTTTTGTGACACTGATTAATATTTTTGATGTTGCCGGCAGAAAACCCTGCAAACTAATGTGAAAATCAAGGTAGAAAATTGCCACTTTCCCGTCGCGTCGGCGATGTTTTTTTGAACGCCGATTGAGGGCGGTATGTTGCAACCTCGAATCAGCGCTTCGTAACCGATTTAGAAAATTGCGTTAATTTTCCCGGGGATGAGGATGTCAGGAGGAACATGGCGGCGCCCGTCGGCAGGACGTGCGTTTGCAACGTTGGCGAAGAAAGCGGTTAAATTTCACCATTTTCAGAGACGTGCTGGAAGACGTTTGTAACTTGTTGTCAGCAATGGCAAGAATTGGATGGAAAGGAGAGGGAAGTTGCCCAAAAAAGCAAAGATATAGCGAAAAACGAACGACCAAAGACCGAGTACGGCTACCACCGTCATGACCGTACCGGCATTGCTAGTACCACTGCCAGATGTAAGTTTCCAATTCCAAACATGTCGAATGTTAATTGTTATCATCGTAGTTGGGGGGGGGGGGGGGCTATTTATACTATTTTAATACGTAACTGAAGTCATTTTTTAAAGCAAATAAATAGGTTGTGTTTGCTATTAGTAGGGCCTACGTTGAAAATAAAATAGGATTGGACAAACATGACAATCTGACAATGATTGAGTATTTTGGGGGTAAGATAACCATATTTGGCCATCACTTGTCACCCTTTACAGTCAGAACATATGAAACTGGTCTTAAAATTTGGAATTGTGTTCTCAGTAAATACTTCAATATTTTCCCTGCTAAGTTTTAAGACTGATTTTACTTTCTGATGGCTGATAGGTCACTGAAGGGAAAAATTAGGGAAAAAATTCCGTACTCGGACGTCACTTTTTTCAATTAATTTTCTAGCCCCAAAAGTTACATCTTTTATGGTTATTCCTCCACTTTCCCTCCTCTACTCTCACCCTCTCCTTTCCTTAATTTCTATTTATTAATCAGTCAGTTACTTCATCGGGATTCGAACCTCTGACGCTTGCTTGATACACGAGACTCTTAACCGCTAGGCCGCGCACGATCGCTGTTGCAATAATCAATCTTTGGACCTATTTGAAGTATCCATTGAAATAAACTAAATATTCATGAGAAAATAAATATTCATAATGACGTATTGCACTATCATTGGCAGGCTCATGCGACGTCATGGTTGTTGATGTCACGTGTATAACCTACCGCTGTCTTTCAGCCACTACAATCAGTTTTGACCGGCTGCTTCAAGTTAGTTCTGCACGACGTATGCATCCAAAATGTGCTCTAAAAACACATTTTGAGTAAATTTTTTTCACCTTAACACAGCTTCCTGGATTTCTCTTGGTTCAAATGACAAGGTGAGGTGACAATTAATATGTTTGGCAGCAGATAAATTGACGTCCGAGTATGGATCTTTTCCCAAAATTAGTGATGGCCAGATCTGGGAATCTTTCACTTATTTGTTTCACACCGGCTATCGTTACAGCAGCTGTAACGTAATTGTCAACCTCTGTTGTTAGTCTTTATAGCATTGTCTGGTTCTTGTAATACTCAATGTTGGGATCCATGGCTGTAAGAGCCAGACTATAGACAGGTTGGTTTTCGGACATTCTGTATTTTTCTTTGAAGAGCCACGGACATGAGGGATATCGATTACGAAGGGAAAATAATTAATTCTACTTCTACAAGAAGTATGATTTGATTACAAACATACTTTTAACTAAAACTTTCGGATCTCTATTATTTAAATCCAATCAGCCATTTCATTGCCAAATATTTCATCTGTCTCGTTCTCATTTCAACAGATTCTGCAATGAATCAAAAATAAAGCGAGCAAAACTGAGGATGGAAAAGAGCTCAACTAGTGAAGGAGGTGATGGCACAGGAGATGTGGTAATCCCCCGCAAGAGAAGACGCACAGGAGAGAAAGAGCAAAGGACCAGGCATGCTCTACCAGTGGAGTGCATCATATGCAAGAAGAGCAAATGGATCCAGCCGCCATATGGACCGCGGAAAAAAGAGCCACTCACAAAGTGCGAATATGAAAAAGGTACAGTCATAATTACATGTACATGTATATAAAGTGTGACACCACCATAATGTCATATAAATGGAAAGACATTTCCACATAATTGTTGAAACCACTTTGAACCAGATTTTGTTTTCACTATATTTTTCAGGTGGACAACTTCTCAAGACTGCTGAACTACTCAATGATGAATCCATCCTTCTTGATATTTAAGGTCACGACATGGTGGCAATCGAAGTCCGGTATCACAGATCATGCCACAAGAATTACATCAAGGTAAGACATTGAAGCTATCACCAATGTTGTGTTACTCCCCCCCCCCCCCCCAAAAAAAAAAAAAATCAATGCAGAACCTTCTTTATCATAAAAAGTGGCTAGACGTTTGGATTATTTTCTGTTGATTTAGAGCATGGCAGCTAGTCAATGTGCAAGGTGATAATATTTTCCTATTCTATGGAATATTATTAAGTGTGTGACTAAAGTCAGATCACAGTAATAGTGCCCTTAATTGTAGGATATAGTGCCTTTAATTGTAGAAAATACTAGGATACTTAAAAAAATAATAAATAAATGGGCATGCCATCACATTATATTCATGTAAATTGGATAACTTAATACATGTATGCATGCAACTATCCTCCGAAACATTTCTTGTAAATGCAAGAAGGGACATTGCAAGTCACGAATTTGTTCTTGTGTGGCAGGCGACTTGCCGTGTACAGACTTGTGTCGTTGCAGTGATTGTGAGAACACCACTACTGAAGACATCGAATGCCTGTCCAGCGATGACGAAGAAAGTGACATTGAAGACGATGAATAGACACAGGGACTTATCGTAGTACGGAAAAGTTTACATACCAGTATTCATCATCAGCCATATTTATGTGTTTGCTCATTCTACATGTACTTGTAAATATGCATAGCTTTTTTTTTGGCATGGTGTAGACAGCAGAAACGTGATTTGCCATCATGTCTTTCAGGAAGAATATTTCTTTGGTTTGTTTTTTACAGCAAATTTCCAGTTTCCAACAGTATATTTTTAGGCTTATGACAATTCCTCATCTACAAATAGTTCTTCCAGCTCTACCTTCTGTCGACCCAAGTTGATGCTTGAGACGAGCGCAACAGCTCCACACTTAAGTGAAAAACTCAATATATGTAATGCCTTGACAATCCATTATTGCATAATTGCATACTTTATTACAATAATTATGACATATATGTATTTGGAATTATGGAAGTTCCAGGTCTAGACAGTTAATTTTTGTGTTAATGGCAAATTCAGGGATACCTTGAAGAATTTTTTTTAAGAAGAACATATTAAGTATGGCCAAAGATTTATTTGTTGCTTATTTATTAATTAATTACCACAAAATAAAACCTTTCCAATTAGGTCATTGTTGGAACCAAATACTCTATTTTAGGTAAATGACATAATTTGGTAATCTGCAAATAAGTCTTTGAACTTCATATGTTATGGAAAACTCGGTGATATCTTGAAACAAAAAAAAATTGGGTGGTACAAAGTGTTGACTGTGGTCAACTTAGCGTTACTTGTTGATAGTTTGAGAATTAATTACCATTTATTGCTTGCATCAAGGACTTTATTTTAGGTAAATGAAATAAGTCAGTCTTCTCCAAATAGTTTTTCCTTCCATAAACATTTAAGATTAAAACTTAGTGCTGTTATAATCCAATTTGTTGCAAAATTGCACAATTAATTACCATAATTATGTAATTATG